CACATGTAATAGAGATATTGAAAATCAATATGTACATAGTTAAATTACTTATTAATTACAAAGCATAAAGTAGTAACTTTGCAATGGAGAAATTGGGTAGGGACCACTTTACCCAAATGATCAAAGTTACCACCACCATAAGATACATTGTGATACAATGTACTGAGACCTCCCAGCATCGCTTCCTGGTGTTCCCACCAAAAGTGCACAACCTGAATCTAATCACCAGGAACTGGACAAACGCAAATCAAGGGACATTCCACGAAATAGCAGGTTTGTCGTCTTCAAAAATATCAAGGTCAAAAAAAAGAAAGGCTAGGGACCAGCTGAGTGGCTCAGCTGGTTAAGAGCGCAAGCTCTGAGCAACAGGGTTGCCAGTTCGATTCCCACATGGGCCAGTGAGTTGATCCCGAGCTGAGCTGCCACTGAGCTGCCCACAGGTGGCAGGACGGCTCAGCTGGTAAGAGCATGTGCTCTTAACAACAAAGTTTCCAGTTTGACTCCTGCATGGGATGGTGGGCTGTGCCCACCCGCAACTAAGATTGAACACAGCACCTTGAGCTGAGCGGCCACGAGCTGCCGACGGGCAGCCAGGTGGCGACTGGACTTGCAGCTGAGCTAGCTGCACGTCCCCACAAGTAAGACTGAAGGGCAACAATTTGACTGTTCCCCTTCCCAATTCCCCAACACTGTTCCCCTTCCCCAATTCCCCAATAAAATATTTAAAAAAGAAAGAGAAAGAGAGAGAGAGAAAGTCTAAAGAACAGCTCCAGATTTAAAAAGACACGACAATTAAAGGCAGCATGACTGGGGCTCAAGGTTGAGAAGACTGATGTCCAGAGAGGCTAAGGACTTTGCTTTCAATCACCCAAATACTTGGTGGCAGAGCTGGGACAAGTCAGGCCCACAGCTCTTTCTGAAACGCTAAACCTGAGAGGGTAGGGGTGATATCCTAAAATTCATGCATTTAAAAATATTTTAAATTTTATAGTCAATAAGGTTATGATAACTATGTATGTAGATTTGTTGGGGTGATAGATTGGAGGGGGTTTGATAGAAGGATGAAAAAGGTGAAGGGGTTAAGAAGTACAGATTGGTAGCTACAAAACAGTCATAAGAATGTAAAGTAAAGTATAGGGAATATAGTCAATAATATGGTAATAACTATATATAGTGCCAGGTGGCTACTAGGCTAGTCAGAGGGGTCACTTCTTAAATTATATAAATGTATAACCACTATGCTATATACCTGAAACAAATATAAAATAAGATTGAATGGCAAATGTAACTGAAAAAAAATTTTAAGGAGTTAAAAAAGAGAAATGAGGTTCAAATTTCCAGGTATAAAACAAATAAGTCATGGGATGTAATATACAGCATAGAGAATATAGTCAGTAATATTGTGATAGCATGGTATAGTGTTAGATGGTTGCTATGTTGAACTTATCATAATGATCAATTCTTTAGTTATATAATGTTAAATAACTATGGTATATACATGAAATATAATATTGCATATTAGCTATATTTTAATAAAAATCTTAAAAAATATTTTTAATTTTAGCCTTAAAAATTTTTTCAGTCAAAGCTTTTATCCTCTACCATGAGAAATTATATGTAGGCACTTGACCTTCATGGATTTAAAATCCACATTTGTTGATACACTTGAATAAGACCCATGAACTGTAGCACTCTGTAAATAAACTGAGTCAAAGAACGGAATCACAAGTTACATGGCATATGAAAAAAAAGACAGCTAGTGGGTGAACCTAATCAACCATCCATTGTGGGTGTGCAGGTTAATAGAAATTTTAGCTTTTGGGGGCAGAAAATAATCCCTCCCCCAAAACCAACTGGTTACACCGGTAAGAAAATGAATGGTAAACATAATGACTGTAACGAGGAGTCCCTGATGTTCCTAGCTGGACACTGCAGCTGGCCTTCCCTCCCTCGGGCAGGAGTCACACGGCACGGTGATACACTCATATCTGGGATTCCTAACAAGTGACTTCGCTAATGATGAGGGCCAATCAGATTTTTATCTGTCCTACATTGTTTCGTGTTTCATTTGGGTGACTCATTCTTGCATGCTCATCCTTTTTTGCCTTTTAATGACAGCTAAGATCAGATTCAAGTGAACATCAAAGACAACACTGACAGAAACAAGTTACAAAAAACATGATGAGAATCTAAGGAATGGAGGAATAGTCGCTCCATTGTAGCTGGTAATGCTGGAAGTTTCCAGTTATGAATTGGGGCAAATTATTACACACACACACACACACACACACACACACACTTCAGGCCTAATTATTCATTTATTTATGTTAAAAATTACTGAGCACTTTCTGTGTGCCAAATACTGTCCTAGAAGACCAAGCACTCAACACATCTGTCAACATTTCTCATGGAGAAACATTATAGCTGGGAGGGGGTGGGAGACAGGTGATCAATAAATTTATTTTAAACATAACATGAGCTATGATGAAAAATAAAGCAGGACAAGAAAACAGAGTGACAGGGAGATGATACTGTGACCGGTGTGGTCTGAGAAGGCTTCTCTTAGGAAGTGCCACCTGAGCTGACTGGCAGTTGGGGGAGGGAGCAGGCCACGTGGACATCTGTGGGTGGGAGGGAAAGTGGCACCCATGGGTCAAGGCCCTGCGGTCGGTGGCAACGTGCACGCAAGCTACTGGTTTCGGCCGAGGGGGACATTTGAGTGAGACAGGGAGCCAGGAGAGGATACTAAGCCAGGAGTAAGGCATCCTTTATGTGTTAGCTACAAAGTAGACAGCTGTCAGAGAAGCAGGAACAAAAACAAGATCAGCTGGAGGCCCCCACAGCAGCACAGGCAAATGAGGTGGTGGTGGCTGGGGCCAGAGTAGCAGCAGAGGAAGGAGGAATACATTGTCAGATTCTCATTATATTTTGAAAGTAAAGCTGACAGGACAGGACTGCTGAGGGACTGAATGTAGAGTTTTGAGAAAAAAAAAAAAAGCCAGAATGACAATATGGCTTTTACCTTTATCCACCCAGTGGCTACCTATAACATTCACTAAGGAGATGCCCATGGAAGGAGCCAGTTTAGGAATGATGAGAAATCAAGACTTTGATTTTATATACATTAGGTTTTAGGTGACTGTGAGTCAAAGCAGAGGTGGCAAGTGAACAACTAGATTATCTAGGTTCCGGGGAGAAGTATTAATAAATGCAATAGAGGCAGAGATTTAGATGTATAAATAAGGAGAAGTGTCTGTGTGTGTGTGTGTGTGTGTGTGTGTGTGTGTCTGTGTGTGTGTGTGTGTGTGTGTGTGTGTGTGTGTGTGTGTGTGTGTGTGTACAAGAAATGAAGGAAAAGTTCAAGAAGGAAAACATGGAGGAAGGGAGAAGGGAAACTTGAAAATTGTATTGTATCTACTTCGACACCATTTGAAAATATTGTAATGAGAATGTGTTACTTTAGTAATAAAAAAGGAGCATTTCTTTTGTTTCAACCAATAAAATAATAAGCTGATGATGAAATAACAAGTTGATGAAACACTTGAACTCAGAAGTACAGAGTTAACAAAAGACTACTGTGAAAACAACACTCAGAGTCAACCGTTAACTGTGGATTATTTCCTCCCAGCTTTTTTTCTCTAGACATGTATACGTATACACAGTACAGTTTTTAAGTACAGTTCATTTTTGCTTGTTTCAACACATGTGAGATGTGCCGGACTCAGAAGTGATGGCCATGGAGTTCGGCCACATTTTTGTTTTGTTTTGAATTTAACTTTTCATGCTTTTAAACTGGGCTCTGCTCTCCAGCTCATCAGGGCCCCTACCACTCCCAGCCACTTTGCAGCCCAACTCACTTATCTAGATGCCAGGCATCTAAGAATACTTGCACTTTCTGTCCCTGCTCCTCAGAGCTTTGTAGTTGGGGTCTCCTTTATAAAATCATACACGTTTCCATTTCATAAAGAAGTATCTGTAAACCTAATTTTTAAATGGGCATCTTTATATGTAATTCTCTGTACATTTCTAATGAAGTATGAAACGTTTTATAAAGGATGTTTTAGCACCACCTCAGGGAGTCACTATCTAGCCACTAAAAGAGGGAAGACTGACTAAAAACACTTTCCCTTCAGTTCATTCAACAAATACCCACCATGGGCGTAGCGTGAGTGTGTGCGTGTGCATGTGTGCGTGTGTGTTGTGTGTGTAGGAAGGAGACTGACAGACAACCAAATATGCTGTGAATAAAATAACATGTGAGAACATAATTGGGAGAAAGGGGAGAAAAGGAGGGAATGCCATATAGGTGTCCAGAGAAAACCTCCTGAGGAAATGACATTCGAGCCAACGCCTCAGGAAAGAGAAGGCACGCAAACATCCTAGAGGAGAGCGACCCAAGTCCAGGGAGGAGAAAATGCAGAAGCCCTGAGAAAGGAGGAGCGTGGCATGTGGCAGGACAGGAGGCAAGCAGTGTGGCCGGGACATCTCCAGAACAGGGGGCAGATCACGGACGGCCTGGCCTCAATGGCCGTCCAGAAAAGAATCTGGATCTTTATTCTAATTATAATAAGAAATTATCATAAAGCTATAAACAGGGACACGATGTAATCTGATTTAGGCTTAGTGGTCAGTGTGGCAGCTGTGGAGAGACTAGGATGTCAGGAGCCAAAGTAAAGGCAGGAGGCCAGGTAGAAAGCTGCTGCTATACCCAGCCAAGAGGTGACAGTGGCTTAAACCAGAATTTCAATTAACTACGGTGGTGAAAAGTGTTCAGATACAGGACACATTCGAGAGGTGATATCGACAGGACCTGCTTGTGGAACCAGAATTCGGGACTGGGGTGAACAAGGACCAGCTTCTTCATCGGCACCACCGGCGACCTCTGGCCTCACCAGGCACTTTCTCAATGCTCACCTGCTGGGCGGTGTCAGAGGGCGCAGGCAACAATTACTAGTAGGATCAATAATGACACGTGACATGTATCATACCATTTTACTTACCCAAATTGGGGTCCGTAGCCTGACGTTTCTTAATTTTAGCTTCAGAAATAGCAGAATAATAGGCACAGGTCATCTTAATTAGCCACGTCGCTCGAACCATTGGCACTGAATATTTAGCTAAATATGCAAAAACATCTTCTTTTTTACTAAGGATCGGAACCTAAAAAGATGTAACATATTTATGACAATCACATATTATGTTCTTCATTAGGCAAAAGAGACTGTTAAGTTCCTGCTGGCTATAAGAAAGAATATCCTTTAAAAAAAAAAAAAAAAAAAGGATATTCTTGATGGATGTTAAACAAATTTTCATTAAGAAAAATGAATCAAAACTATGTTAACCACATTGGCAACACAATTTTACCAGTTGTTTCTTATTTACAAAAACAAATTATTTTCTAACTTTCAGACGCTGAAAGCTACTCATTGTATCAAAAAAAAAAATAGAAAAAATAATTTCATAACAGTCCTCCAAAGAGTGCATCTCAAAATTAGAATGGACAGATCAAATTAAAAACGTCCCCACTTTACATTTTATCCAAGAACACTTTTTTTATAAAGCTTTTCAACCATACCATTTCATAACAATAACAATTTCCACAAAGCTTCTAAAAGTGCCATTAGCCCAAAATTTAAAATAGAGACTAAAATGATGGATCAGTGAATCTGCCTAATAAACACTGAGCTAGAAATAGCTGGATACTTAATTCACAAGTGGAAAGTAGGCACTTGGGACAGTTAATTATTTCTTGCAGACCACAGAGGTACTATTTAGCAAATTAGCATCTCCATGTACCACTGAATGGTTTGAAAGAGTTAATCCACTCTTCAAGAATTCCTCATAAATATCCAAGGCAGAGCCCAGTCATCTATATATAATCTATTCAGTTTCTGAATGTGGAGTGAAAGAGTACACAAAGAGGATGCTGCTGGCTGCGATGCAGATGGAAGCAGTGAGACGAGTCAGGCACACCCCCCACATGAGGGCGGAGCCCCTCAGAGCTCCATTCCTGGCCCCAGCCTATTGGCTGGAACTCATCACTCCCAGGCTGCTCATTTACCAATGTGATAACATCAACCCTGTCCACCTCACTGGGTGGCTAGGATAAAACAAAAGAATTACATGTTATCAAAATTATAAAAATTTTTATTTTGTTGCCAGTTTCAAACATTTCTCCATGCCAGCCAAAGTATTTCCAAACCATGGACGTGACCCTCTCTTAGGAGGGTCCTAAACACACCATGGACATCGAGAGCCTTGGTCTTTACACCCCGCATTCTTGCTTGATTCTGTGTTGGAAATCAAGGCTTCAAACCAGCCAATTGATTCATATAACATGGCATTTTTCTCTTAGCTCACCAAATCCTCCCTGAGTGGATTGTTTGCATCATACGTATGTTACAAATTTAACTATTCACACATTTGGTATAAAGGGTGATCCTAGAATTAAAAGGCAAGTATTTTTCTATAAAACAAAGCAGTGTCACCTGATTTCACTTGATTAAAAAAAGTAATTTCATCTGGTTCTTACGAAAGAAACAGCAAGCTGCTCTAATGCTGAAGGAAAAGCTGCTGGGTTGGACACTGAGATGCAGTGTGTCCATATACTGTATCTTATGAGCAAATTAATAGACTTTTGACCGTGTATCGTTCCTGCCTTGGGTTCAGACTCTAGAGCATAATCTCCATGACAGAGGCAACTAACCTGCCCAAACCTGACTGAAAGGGGGATGAACATCACAGGCCAAAGCAGTAAGGCTTCCTCTCTGCAGACCAGAGTGGTCCATTGTAACAAGAGAATTTCCTGAAAATTTAGCTTACAAGGCCCATCTTTCATGGAGCCCAAACAAGGCTTTGGACTTACTGTGGTGTAAGCTGGGGAAAAGAAAAGCACAGGCTTTTCACTTCAAGACCTGAGCTGCTGCTTTTCACTAGAACGTAACAGTATGGTATCAGTAAGTTAAATTTCCACTATCAAGGTCAGGGTGCTTCTTAATCAGACATACCAAAAGATTATAATCCAAAGCCTAAAAAATAGGCAAATGCAAAAAGTAAACTTAGCATCTCCACAGAAACATTATTAATAGTATCTTTCATAGACGCCTAAAAGATTTCTTTTGAATAGCAATTGACAGGAGAAAAAAATTTTTATGTAAAATGTCTAGATGAAGCAAACAAAATAGAGCCACAGGTCTCTCATTAACAGCAGAAGGAAACCTCTAGCTCAGCTCATCGCCCCTATGGCAGAGCCCTAAGGAATGGCTGACTCAAATCAGAAGAACATGCGTGAAGGAAGTTTTTTAATTAAGGAAAAGGCACGTTGATGGTTTTGTCAAATTTACAGTTTGGGCCAACTCAGGAAGGAAAATATGTCTACATGACTGAAGTATGACGTCCTTACAGTGATGGATTCCATTTTCAACAAAGGAACCATCCGACTTTAACTTGTAGCTCAACCTAGGCAATCACTGGGCAGCTGTCTGGTTTCTAACTCAAGCTAGGGCAGCATACAAGTACCAAAAGGAAACTAAGACATCGAGCATGTGATGGCTTTCCATCCCTGGGTCACCTTTCCCCCTGAATGCACGTTACCGTCAGCATCCCCCGTTCGCTTAGCAGTGGTAGAGGCAAAAGGAAATCCCATAAACCACAGTTATCAAAGTCACCTGAAATGAACATGTGATAACTCATGATCTCTTCAAGAGCTAGGAGGATAACCCCAAGGGCCAGAAGGCTCCTTTTCCAAATCCCACTAGGCCCATGACTGAGTTGAAAGGCCCTTTACATGCCATTGTTGACCTCTACGTGGCTGCATACTTGAAATGCTGTGGGGCTTTATAGTAACAGAAAACCAGGCCAGAAACCTGATCCATCCCATACAGGAAACTATTTTGAACTCTAGATCAGAGCTGGAAGATGACTCAGGGTCTTAGCAGGAAAAGGAAGGTCTTTTGCATTAAACCGTCTCACAGATAAATACCAGAAATTAAAGAAGTATGTAAATGTTCTAATATGAAGAACATGCAGAGAATGCAATCTTTTACCCAGCTCTAAAAGAGCTCTCCCCATCTCAAGAAGATGACTGAAGAGGGGATGGGAGAGGGACGGACTCTTGAAATGCCCAAGAAACAAATACTTCAAGGTATAGTCAATGGTTTTATAAAGAAAACAACTTTAATTTTGCAAAAAATGAACGTCAGGGCTTACCTGAGGAACACCTGACTTGGCCAGAGGCAGCTCCTAATAAAGAGAGAAGAACAATGGCTAATACACCACACTGTAATTCATCTCCCTCCTAAAGATGAGACCACTACACCCCTAAAGCAAGGGCATCGATTCCTCACCAGTATTCACTTTCAGGAAATATCCACAAAATGCACTCTAAAAGCTTATAAAAAAGGAAAACCTAAAAAGAAAGACGTCAGGCTGGCTCCCTGGGAGTTGAAGGTACTAACCAACATGGAGGGTATGGACCATTGTTAGAAAGTCAGAGGATATCGAAGAATGCCCTATGGCTTACATGGCCTTCAGATATAATTCACAGGAGATAGTGGGCCCACCTGGTAAACGTTCACCACTAGAAAAGAAATGCCACACGGTTCAGCCTATGTTGGGACAGAGGCACCACCTGAGTAGCAAGATGCTGACTGGTGTGCTTTTCAAGGACTTCAGTTGCCTTTAACCAGTGAAATCTATGACAGGCAACACAATGCTAGGACACTGAGGCAAAATAAAGCCAGTGGGAGCTATGGGTACTATTTTCAAAGAATTCCTTTAGAAAACACACAAGCAAATACACAGAGGAGATCCCCACTGAACTGGGCCTGCACCAAGCCAGGTAATGACCACTTAATATCTGGAACGGAAGATGGGCACCCTTAAAACTAAAAGGTTTCAGGAGCGATGAGAAAGACCTGTGGGATTACTTGAAAGATGATCAAGACGTTAGAGATCAAGACTAAGAGTGGGGTTTTTATCCTTCATCTAAATTTCAAAAGACATTTTTATATTGTTTGGACTATAAGATTGTTGAATCTGTGTATTATTTCCCGCTTGAGAAAAATGACCAAAGGCAAAGATTTTAAAATAACCGTCCCTCCTACCCTACCTCACCCAATATCCCGCCACCCGCTCCCAAAAAAAAAGCTGGGAACTAGAAATAAACCTGCCTATTTTGCTCTAACACTTTTTCAAGGAAGTTTTTCAAGCACACACAGAATCACTATCTTTATCCCATTTGTGAGGAAGGAGACCTAGCTTAAAGCATTTAGATGGTTATGTTTCAAGACAAGGAAATAACACCAAAGCAAGAATTTTCACATAACATACCTTGGACATCGTGGGCTAAGCAAACTGAAGATATAATAGCAATAAAGTCTCATTGCCTGTTCTTGACTTTAAAACCTTGTCTACCTAAACTCCACATAAACTGATTCCTGTATGGAATGTTTAGGTCTATGGGTGTTGGAGGCAGCACATGCCATCAAAACAAAGGGGAAAGAAAACAGTGTATGTACAGCACACACCTGGTCAGTATACCTGCCAATGAGGCTGTGCGTTTCGGAGAGAATTGGGGAAAAGAAATACATACTTGAACATTATCTCAAACACCTTCATTTCTACAAGACCATAATTAAAACAATGAAAGAAAAATTGAATACCTTCTTTGCTAAAATAGCAAGTGGTTTATTTCCTGCTAAGTCAGAGAACCAACTATGAATTGCACTCTGGGATCGAGCAGTAACCAGCCAATAATTATCTTTAGCATTAACTTGTGGTTTCTTCTTCCCGGTGTCCTGGAAAGTGTTAAGCTTTAATTTCTCAGCTAATATGCTGCTAAAATAAGCTCCAATCTGAGGAAATGAGAGACAAAAACAAAAAGTTTAAAGACAATAAGTATGTTAGTAATGTATATTAGTATTTTATTTTTATTATTTTAATGGAAAATCTTCAAACAGCGCATCAGAAAATAAAATGGCAGGCCGGTCAAGTTGTGCGGTGGTTAAGAGCTGGCTTGGGACGCCAGAGGGCCCCGGTTCAGATCCCACATATGAGGGCCAGTGACACTGCCCTCTACAGCTAAGATGGTGCCTACTTGGGCCAGTGAAGCAACGTCCTCCACAACTAGACTGAAGAACAAAACGACAGCAACTTGTCTGTTCCCCTTCCACCAATTCCCCAGTACTGTTCCCATCCCCCAATTCCCCAATAAAAATCTTTTAAAAAGAAAAAGAAAAGAAAATGGCAATTTTAGCCCTTGAAGCCAAGAGTTCTCATTTCCTTATCCTAACAGAATGCAAAAACTCCCACAGCAACTTTGTCCGGCTGTTAACAAGTAGTTGAAAGAAAAAATAAGAGCCTTTGAAAATCTCTGGCAAGATGAAATTAATTACATCCTGAATAAATGTCAAGAGAATGGGTTCTGCTTTAATCTGCAGCTCTACTTTTCTCCTTTTTCATACTACACACCCATTAATTTTCCCCAGAAGTGCTGCATAGAAGAACAGAAAACCAAGTAATCCACACAGTAATCATTCTTTTTCTTGTTTCATCTTAATAGCACATATTTTTGGAAAGGAAGCTGTATTTACATTTCGTGCTTTTCTAAAAAGAGTCTAGAGAAATTTAATTTATTTAAATGACAAATACAGAAGTCAATTAAATTAAGTATTCAACATATTTGATGGGGCTGCCAATTTCAGAGCACAAATGTTTCAAGAGAAAGCTGCTGTTACCTGTTCTGAATGGAGCAGAGCAGCAAAGGGAGCGCCTGTGAATTAGTGTAGCATTTTCATATTAACCAGATTAAAAGAGAAAAAAAGACGGAAAGGGGACAAACAGGAAGGGAATAAAGTAATACCTAAAAATTAAATAAATCCAAGAAAACCTGTTGGAATTTCCAAGAATCCCATCAAAGCTTCACATATTCTCTGGGAATTCTTTAATGATATAATGCGAGAAACAATTTCTAATAAATACTTCCAATGAGATTAGAAGACAGTGTCAACTATGATTTAAATAAAATGCCTACTCTGGGGAAGCAAAATGACTACCTTAGTTAATGCTCATGAGTCAAACAATTAGTCTACAGGTTGAAACACAGTTGTAAGCAATTAGTCAAGTTTATTTACCAGGGTATAAAGCTGGTACTGTACAACTATTTTTATTACAAATTGTAAATCCTTGATCCTTGTGGTTAATGTACAATTAAAAGGAAGTCTCTTTTGGTATGTTGATGTAATATGGCAATAAAAATTAGAGTAATTAGGGGAAAAAAGTCTAAGCTTTACTTTTTTTTTATATATATTTTATTGGGGAATTGGGGGAGAAGAACAGCATTGGGGAATCAGGGAATGGGAACAGACAAGTTGCTGTCCTTTTGTTCTTCAGTCTAGTTGTGGAGGACATTGCTTCACTGACCCATGTTGTTATTATCATTGTGTTCTTCCCGGGTGAGGCAGTCGCTCACTGGCCATTAGACAGCCGCTGACAGTGGCTCACACCAGCTCACGAAAGATCACACCCACTGCCGGCCAGCCCCACTGCAACCTATGCCGTCACCAGCGACTCACCGCAGTCCAGCTCCAGGTCGAGCTATTGTTCACCATCTTAGCTGTAGAGGGTGCAGTGTCACTGGCCCTCATGTGGGATCCAAGCAAGGGCCCTGCTGCTGAGAGCTGGCTTCCTAAGCCAACTCCTAACCAATGCGCCACTCAGCCGGCCATAAGCTTTACTTTTTAAAAAAACAACTTGACAGTGTATTTTTTAAGCAAATGTTTACAAAATGCCCAGAGAATTAAATGCAAAAATTTAGCAAAAACCAATTGTTTTAAAACAAGCAGCCAATAGTGGCAAATTGTTTAATATTAAATGTCTCAATCAATGTTTGATCTTTGCACCAAGGCCACAAAACACATACATATGCAAATTGTTTTATATTTAAAATGTCTCTTATTCATAATTGTGTATGAGCATTGTAATCAAAATAAACAGAGGTGTACATCTTTTTTTAAAACTAGTCTGGGAAATCTGTTTTACAATTATGCTCCATTCTACATAATTAATGATAGCAATGGAACATGGTGACTGTATGTATTTTTGCTTTCTAACAAACCTTCTGAACAATTGCATACTATAAACAAAGTCAAAATTCCCAAGAAAAGGAAGAGAGAAAACAATGTGCATTAGGAACTCAAAAAAATAAAATCAAAACATGATCACACATTTCATTTTATTGCAATATATTCATATTAATCTAAAGTCAAAAAAAGTAAAGAGTCTAATTGCCAAGCCCCAGTGCCTAACTCCAAGTAGCCAACTTTGATGAGTTTTTATGTGTTCTTCCAGTGTTTCTTCATGTGAACACACACAAACACGAATATATTTTCTCTTTCTTATACTCACTCATGCACAATTACTAAATGTCTGAGAGCCTTCCCAACGTGTACGGGAAGCTTCCTCATTCATGTTTATTAACACATAATAATGTCCTGTGTGGATGTACCACATTTTATTTAATCAAGACCCTGTGAATGGACATTTGGAGTGTTTGTACCAAACTTTTGCTGTTACAAACCACATTAAAATGAATAGCCTTTCCTATTTATTATTTCATATATGTTCAGCTACAGGTTTCAGATAAATTTGCAGAATTCAGATTTCACGATTCTGTAATTTTCATGCAGTGTTGTCATGATGGAGGATGATTTACAGTACACTTTAAAACACACCTTCTCTTAACCGTAGCTCACACCCAACTGACTGCACTAAACAAGTTGAAACTTGTCAGACACTGTTACTAAGGTTTGACTCGCTGCTTCCCGTATTGAAGACCCCTGCCTTTCTGTTGGATGGCACTCGGCAGCAGCATTCACCGTATGTTTTTAATGAACATGAACATTGTTAAATGGCCCTCCATAAGATTTATAACAATTTACTCTCTCAGTCAAGGTATAAGACAAAAGGTTTAAATTAAAACTTGTTTCCATCCATCCAAAGCTATTTGAAAAATAATTCATCTGATAAGAAATGGAAAAAGTTTAGGGGCTATACTATAGTTCACATATTTCATATTTATAGATCAAATTCCCCTCAGAAAGTTTAATTCCTTGAGTAAATCTCACAGGAATGTTGATAGCTGTAGAAGTTGTAATGGATGATATTTCCATTTACTGTTATTTAAACTGATATAAAACTTGATACAACTGAGAACAATTTGGCAGTTCACATGAAGAGACACACAGTAGTCATATTCTTTGTTATGCACTAAATTGTGTATTCCCAAAATTCAGATGTTGAAGCGCTGATAGTCTTTGGAGACAGGGCGTTTAAAGAAGTGATTACGGTTCAATGAGGTCATACGGGTGGCACCCTAATCCAACAGGACACCAGAGATGCATGTACACAATGAAAAGACTATATGAAGACACAGCAAGATGGCAGCATGTGCACACCAAAGAGAGAGGCCTCAAGAGAAACCAGACCTACTGACACCTTGAACTTGGACTTCCAGCCTCTTTAACTGTGAGAAAAGAAATTCTCTCAGAAAATCAAATTTCATTGTTTAAGCCACCCAGTCTATGGTAGTTTGTTATAGCAGCTCTAGCAAATTGATGCACCTTCTAAGCAAGCAATATTCTTCCAGGAAAAGTACATACAAAAAATGTTAGTTTTTTTAAAAGTATATAATAGTTAAGGAAGACGAAAAAGATTTAGAGATGAATGGTAGTTAGTGACAGTTGCACAGCAATGTGAATATATTTTATGCCAAAGAACTGTATACTTTAAAATGTTAAAATGGTAAATTTTATGTTATATATTTTAGCACAATAAAAAAAAAAGTAGAACACAAATTACAACATATACATAATTATGGTTGTACTGTTAAAAAGTGTCAAGATTGGAAAAAGACAAAACTAAAAACATTGTGTTTGGTCAATAGGACTATCTGTCAAAAATGCTTCTATTTTTTTTCCACATCATTTAAATAATTATTTCAGTTGACAGTTTAGCAAATTATCATTTACACATGTGTTTGTCATTTACATGTGCACACATAAAAAGAGATCTGGAATGATACACGAGCCCTTAATAATGGTTATCTCTGGGGAAGAGGAAAAAAATATAGAAATTTGTCTGTTTGTTTGATTTCTTTTTATTTGTATGTATGATGTTTTCAAATTAATAAAAATATTTTAATGTTTGAAAAATAGAAACTCGAAAAGGATGGAAAATCAAACCTTAGAAGAATAAAAACAGAAACAAATAATTATATATATATATATATATATATATATATATATATATATATATATATATATATATATATAATTGTTAACATACCACACAGGAAAAAAAAAAGATTTAATTCAAGAAATTTTGTAAGACAACATTCTGACTAAGTATTCTTAATGAAAGTTAGTATAAGGTAAAAAAAAAAAAAAACAAGTATTGCAGAACATTTGAAAATTTTACATAGTAATTTTGTTATTGGAGATATTGGTATAATTTATTCTGAAAGTTTTTTATGTGTATTATAAGATAGAGTAAATGAATAAATATGTTGATATTGCTGAGAGGAAGGGTTCTCTCTTTGGGAGAAAAGAGACTCAAAGATGAAACAGGCAACAGTAAGAAAAAAACCCGAGGGTATTGAGTTAGAACTGATGGAGGGAGGGAGTCTGTAAGGCAGGGAGGGAGGGAGGGAGGGAGGGAATAAAAGAAATCTAAACATGCTCCCCATCTCAGTCCACTGAAAGGGCTCAGCAGTTATGACACTCTAGTAGCAGGGAGCATGCCAAGCACCCACATCTGGGCGGGGCGGGGAGAGAACAAGATGAACCTGGGATGTGTTCTTGTGTAAGAAATGAGAAAGTGCTCAAAGGATAGTGGGGATGGGGATGTCAAAATGACCCAAGAGCCAGGTTAAAGGCACCCCCACTGGCATCGAAAAGAAAAATGAAGATAACACCTCAGATTTGAAAGAGTCCAGGAGTTAAAAGTGATACTAAAAAAAATGAGGTGTCCTTTACAAAAGAATGCCAACTAATAAATGTATGAGGAATGATAACCAGAAAAAACAGCATTTTGCAACCACCAGCAAAACAAATCATGCTGCAGGAATCATCAGTTGATACTAAAATCATAGGATGAAATTTTATTGGAGAATAGGATATTCACGGTCTGAAAGTATCACCCTATAGAGATTACTATGAGGAAAAGATGACCACGTTTACAAGGTAAAGAGATGGCAGACACCACCTTAGGTGATCACACTTATAACCAATGATAGGGCAAACTGGCATTGCATGTCTTCTGATGTGAGGTAATGTAGCCTTCTTGTCCAAAAATATTTAACCTGGCTCCTGTCATGAGAAAATAACGAGACAAATCTTGAATACAGGACTAAGATACAAGACAAATAACTGGACTAGACTCTTCTAAAATGGGAGTCCTGAAAGCGCTGCCCCAAAAACCGAGAACAAAATGAGGGAAGCTGGAGAGCTATGCTGTACGAGACTCACGGAGACTGAAGAGACAGGACAGCCAAATACTTGTGATCCCTGACTGGATCCCAGGGCAGGGCAGCTTACAGGATATTTGGGGAAATTCTGAATATGGATTGTGATTTAAAAAAAACGCTCATTTAGCAACCTGTATTCCCAAGGGTGTCACATACAAGGTGTGATCAAAACATACGGTGAATGCTGCTGCTGAGTGCCATCCAACAGAAAGGCAGGGGTCTTCAATACGGGAAGCAGCGAGTCAAACCTTAGTAACAGTGCGTGACAAGTTGCAACTTGTTCAGTGCAGTCAGTTGGGTGTGAGCTACGGTTAAGAGAAGGTGTGTTTTAAAGTGTGCTGTAAATCATCCTCCATCATGACAACACTGCATGTCACACATCGCTTCTGGTATATGGCAATTTCTATCCAATAACAAGATTATGATGTGTCCTCATCCACCTTATTCACCGGATCTGGCACCGTGCAACCTCTGGCTCTTCCCCCAAGTCAAAATGATTCAGGACATCGAGGCAGCCACGACAGCGCAACTAAAGACACTCACGAAAGAGGACTTCCAGAACTGCTTCAGAAATGGCAAGAACGATGGCATTAGTGTGTCTGAAGTGAGAAAGGGGGTATTTTGAGGGGAATTAATAGCAATGTGTCTTTTACTGTAATAAACGTTTAATTAAAACATTCACCGTTGTTTGATCACACCTTGTATACACACTTTTTCAGAAGTTTTGGGAAAGACACTTAGCATACCTTTGATGGGTTAATTACAATATTCCTGGCTGAGCCGTGCTCATCTCCCGTGAAGGCCGGCTGATTGTTGAAGCCTTGCTTTACATTCACAGCGGTAAGTTCGTCCTGTTCAAAAAAAGGTACTGATTAAATCAGAAGGACATAAAGCTCCAACTTCACCCCGCATGCCACAGCCCAAGTAGCAGCTAACTTTGCTAAACTCTACAAGGAGAGAATAGTTGAATGCACATGAAAGCAAGCAGAAATGGAAGTTTAAAAACTGATGTAGAAATGTGTAAAGAATGATAAAGCGAATGGGGCAAAACATTCACAACCATTGACTCTAGCTGTAGGATACAGGAGTGTTCATTATGCTATTCTATTAACTTTTCTGTAAGTTTGAAATTTTTAACAGTTGGGACGGGGCGGGGAGGGGGAGGAAGAAGAGAGAAATGAGCAATGATGCCTCACACACAAACATAAAATCACAGAATGTTTAATCTAGAACTGCACCAAGGGAGCCCATAGTTTGACTCTCCCTTCATTGCCAGCCCCTACGCGTACCCCTATCTTATGTTCGAGAAAACTGCATCACTCAACTTACCCAAGACCCCATAGCAAGTTAAGGACAGAAATAAAGGGTTCCTAGACACAAGCTTTGTAGTAACCACCCAGCACAGAGACCAGCGACATAAGGGACGTTTAGAGTCTGCAAAGTTCTTTCATACATGCGGGCTACTTGATCTTTACCAATTCTGAGGTAGACAGTAGGTTTGTATCTCACGCCCATTTACAGATGACAAGAGTGAGGCTCACTACGCTAGTACAGTAACTGGACAGAGCCAACACTGAAATCCTGTATTCTCAATCCTAGGCTAGGAAGAGAAATTTCCATGCCACCATGCCACCGAAGTATAAATGCCACATGAAAATGCGGTCTAAAAATACATAGCTACAACTCAGACTCGCCTTAAAAATATCTCTTACTGGGCAGATACAGAAAAACTTTTCTTCCCAAGGTCACAACACTTCAAAAATAGCCCAGGCTTCTAAAAAAAAACAACAAAAAAAAAACCCAAGAAAGAAAACCAACCTTGCCCTGCCCTGATCACTGAGTTATAAAATTAAATCGGAGTTCCTAAGACACAGACTTGAAAGTATAAAAGGGAAAAAGGTTTGAGTAAATGAAGCTACTTTCTGCTCCCCTCATGCCAAGCCAAGAAATGGTCTTAGTAACCAGTGTGAACGGTAGCCACAGCACAAGAATGAGAATATACACTCATTCCTCACAAGTCTTGCAAGTGTAAAATAAAATTAAAAAAAAAAAAGAATCAACTGACAAAATCATTGTGAGGATTAGGCAAGAAGTGCTAAAACAAAATAGTTTATGACATACCTGAACGGTCACCTTGGCTGAGAACTGAGGTCTCCTGGACACCCGCCATGTAACTTGACTTAATTGTGTGTGCCCTACCTAATACCTTGGTGAACCACTGTTTTGGCGGGCTTTCAAAAGACCCCGCGACGCGACGGGAAATTTAGCTCTATGGTTATCAAGTCTCCTCCAAGCACAGAAGGTTACTGAAATCATGATCTGCACGGAAAATGAATTGCACGCCCATATCAGAAGACAACTCAAACTGCTACCGCATTTTCAAATTAACTATTTGAAAATCTGGGGAAAACTACATAACGCAATATCAGCAATCTCAGAGTCTAAGAAAGAAGGAGCACAAACGGGGTCATGAGAGGAACAGAACGAGAAAATTGAATTTTTATCTTTGATTTACCATCAGAGTATTACAAAAAGCATTAATTGAGTAACAGCATATGTTTTTACTAAAAATATGTTCTGGCTTTATTAGAAGGAAATGCATGAAGCTGTTAGGACCAGTTAGTTTCATTTAGCACTGTTTAACTTTCTATTCCAAACTAACACGGGCTCTGTTAGCTGCCTGCTTTATGTGACTGCTAACCACTGGCCTGGAGAGAGACATGCCCTGTGCGCACGCGCAGACACACATACACAAATCCCAGAAGGAAAAGAACATGGAATCATGATTACATGTCTCTCAGCCACATCAGGTTTTCCTCAAACAAGATTCACACAGGTACTGTTGGGAGCCTTGAATCCTGAGAACTTTGCCATCTTGTATTCTAAGTTGCACGAAAACCCATCCAGAATCCGATCACTACTCATGACCACCAGTGCCCTCCCCAGGTCAGGACTGCCATCATCTCACGGCAAAGGCTTCTAACTTGGCCCCTAACTGGTCTTGCACCGTGAAGACCATTTTCAACACAGCAGCTACAGGGAGCTTTTTCAAACGAAAGTGAGATCATGTCACTCCTGCTCAAAACCTGCATAAATTCCCCAACTCAGAGTATAAGAAGCAAAGGCTCTGTGATGCCCTGCAGGTCCCTATGTGATCTGGCTCCTGTTACCTTTCTGACCTCATTCCTGACCACACTCTCTGTTGCTCATTCCACTCAGGCCACACAGGTCTCCGTGCAGTTAGTTCCTCAAGGTGGATGTTCTCAAGCCTCAGGGCCTTTGCACTGTCTGTTCCCTCTGCCTGGATTGCTCTTCCCTATGGTATCCACAGGGCCAACTCCATAACCACCTTAAGTCTTTGCTCAAATTTCACACTCCCCATGAGAAACTGGAACTGCTCACCCCACTCCCTTCATCCCCAAGACTCCTAATCTTCTAATAATCCATAGCACTTAACATCTACAATAAAACACCATGTAACTTACTTACAACATGTACTTACCAGAAGATAAGGTCCATGAGATCTGGGAACTTTGTTTTTTATTCACAGATGCACAGAGAGCAGTGCCTGGCACACAGCACACATGCATACAGTAAGTAATTGTGGAAAGAATAAATAAGTGAATAATAACCTGTATTGAACAATTAACATAATAAGCATATTCTGAATCGCTATCACATGACTCTGAGGCCCATAATTCCATTTGTATGGGTAACTTAGTTGAACACAGAGGTCATTAGACTGAGGGGCTCTAAGCCGTGATGCCTACATGACAGCCCAAAATCTAAGCCTGTAAATACATCAAGGTTACACAATCGAAACCTAAGGACAACCAATCACAAACAGCCAACTGGGGTTTAAGCTATCTATAGATAATCAATAATTTCCTTACCTTGCTTCCACCTTTTCTCTATAAAAATTTGTCCCCAGCTCCCGACACCAGAGCACTTCTAACCACGTCTGATTTGGTGCTGCCCCATTTGAACTGAATTTTACTCAAATAAATTCCTAAAATTTTAATATGCCTCATCTTTCAACAGTTCTGGTGTCAGAAGAGGGACCCAATGGAGACCCCCAACAGCCCCCAGGAGCAAGCAGCAGCCAGGTGAAGCTGCACACTGAGCCCACTGAACTTACTGCCTTTCTCACTGCGTGTGGTCGTCACAGGTATCTGAGCTCCACAATTTTTTCATTTAAAAGAGCTCTCCAAATTTATCTGAGCATTTCTTTCTTCAGATTGGGTCTCAGGTCAGCTGACTTAAAAGAAGCTGGACTAGATCTGACTTAGAAACCAGGCTGGGCCTGGCATCAGACTGGGTCCAACTTAATTTAAATTAGCCTGAGTCCAGTGCAAGGCATCAAGTAACAAGGAAGAAAAAAAAATGGGTTCCTCTGACTCCAAACAAGCTGGGACTCTTCCACTTGGAACCCCAGCTAACCATATGGATAAAAATTATGGGTCCAGACCCTGTGCTGTTCTGAACCAGCAGGTTAACCTCACCACAGATAATCTTGAATCACAGTGGTCACAGTAGGGAACTTTTTATCCATTTATGAGGTGCTCTGGAGAAAAAAGGATCAAATGCCCCCAAATTTCCCCAAAAAATGGGATGTATTTTTTATTGATGTGCAGAAGCTCTAAGGAACTAAATGAAACAAAAATTGTCTCTTTAAAAGATTATTTACAAAAGGCAAATGAACAGTTTAAGCAATAAGCTGATGGTGAATCTAAAACGAAGTGTACCCTAACTTGACTCTGACTGCTCCAACAGCTGCTTCCCCATACCCTCCTCTCCCAAAATATTCTGAACCTACTAATCCCTGTACTCAACTGCCTTTTCACTCTGAAGATGAGCTAGAGGTTAAAAAATTGCCTTTTAAAGGGAAGCCCCCTGCTAAGCCAGTAATACCAAATGTAACCATCTTCTCTCCATGATCAAATGCAAAACTTGGGGCCATTATCAAAGACTTCCCACATCTTAAAGAGAATCCTCAAAAATTTTATGAGGAATTTAGAATTCTAATTGGAGCTTACAATCCAGGACTCCCGGATCTCTATCAATTTATTCATATGACATTAGGACTTGGCAACACCCAAAAATAAATGGCTGAACCCAAATGGGAATATCCCAAAAGCAATATTAAAGACCCACATACTGGGGCCGGCCGAGTGGCTCAGTTGGTTAAGGGCGAGAGCTCTGAGCAACAGGGTTGCCGGTTTAATTCTGCATGGGCGAGTGAGCTGCGCCCCAGCTGAGCTGCTGCTGAGCTGCCAACAGGTGGCAGAATGGCTCAGCTGGTGAGAGCACATGCTCCTAACAACAAAGTTGGGGTTCGACTCCCACATGGGATGGTGGGCTATGCCCACCTGCAACTAAGATTGAACACGGCACCTTAAGCTGAGCGGCCGCAAGCTGCCGAAGGGCGGCCGGATGGCGACTGGACTTGGAGCTGAGCTAGCTGCGCCCTCCACAACTAAGACTTGAAGGACAACAACTTGGCTGTTCCCCTTCCCCAGTTCCCCAATAAAATCTTTAAAAACAAAACAACTCACAGCAGAGACAATAGTTTAAAAAAAATAAGACCCACATACTAATCACTCTGCCAGGAATGGCCCAAAATGCACTAGAAAAATAGCCCAAGACCTACTTGAAAGTATTGATAAAGCATTTCCACACAATACTGATGGGTATTCAACCTTGCAAACAACAACCAAAAAGATGAGCCAGTCTCAGACTATAAGATAAGACTGGAAACCTTTTTTGTGAAACATTCTGGACTTTTTTTTAATTAAATGCAGGCATAGAAAAAATGCTGACTTCCTTATTCATTACTGGGCTCCAGCCCGAA